AAGGTGGGAGGGAGCGCCTTACATTCCCCCCCCCCCCCTACAATTCCTGCCGGTACGAGACTCGAACCCGCAACCTTTGGGTTACGAGTCCGACTCTCTAACCATTAGGCCACAACTTCCCCACTTGTGAACTTCCCCTTTTATAATGTTGCTAAAGATTTCTGTTTCAAATAAATGCTGTTCTTGTGAACTTTCTATTCATCAGAGAATCCTGAAAAAATAAAATGTATCACAGTTTCCACAGATTTAGGAAGCAGCTACTGTTTTCAACATTGCTAATAATCAGAAATGTTTCTTGAGCAGCAAATCAGCATATCAGAATGATTTCTGAAGGATCATGTGACACTGAAGACTGGAGTAATGATGCTGAAAATTCTGCTTTGATCACAGAAATGAACTACATTTTACAGTATATTCACATAGAAAACAGCTATATTAAATTTGGATAATATTTCACTGTTTTACTGTACTTTTGATCAAATAAATGCAGCCTTAGTGAGCAGAGGAGGCTTTTCTCAAAAACATTAAACCCCATTGACACTCTAAACTGTTGAATGCTAGTGTAGCCTAATAAATAGTTGCATTAATTAAATTAATTTAACTCACTAAAGACGTTATATTGATTGCTACAGTCAGTGTTGTTTCAGTAACTGTTGGCTAAACTGGATGTAAGCAACATTAGCACATCAGATGAATGTTGAAACACTGACCTTCATGTCAAAACACTGAGCAGCAATAAAGACAGTGATTATTTATGCGGCTTTATCTGTTTATTTTAGGATTATTTTCTAGCGTAATGCTTATTGCATACTGTACAGTAAATACTGAATACTGCCTACAGTTTTAAATAAATACTACACCAAGCAGTAAGCCCTATGCAATATGGTATCTCAGACAGTTTGTTCTGTTTTATATTGCACATTTTAGCAAATGTTGATGATCGTCTGAGCTCATGCGTACAGTAAATTCACATACTATGCCTAGAATACATACTGTGCTGGGTAGTAACTGATTACTTGTAATCTGTATTATGTAATCAGATTCCAAAAATGTACTTGTAATTAGATTATATTACACTTTAAAATGCTTATGATCAGATTAGTTTTTTTTTCTTCATTGATTACATAATTACATGTTATTTACACAATGGCAGTACATTTTTCAGAATTTATTGACTCACCCAAATTATTATTATTTTTTTCTCCTTTAAAATTAAAAAGATAAAAATTTTTACTATTCAAGTGTTTTATTTCAATTAGGGCTGGGCAAAAAATCGAATGCGATTTTCATGCGAATCTCGTCATTCATTGCGATTCATTGCCGATTTTGAATGCGATTTTGCGTAGCTTGTCAGTGATCTACGGCTCTGTGTATTAAATGCTGCTCCATCTGAAAGCACGTGCTGGAGATTTACTACTAATCACAGAACTGGCTTTACTGACGAGATGCGCATGAAAATCGCATTCGATTTTTTGCACAGCCCTAATTTGAATTGTTTTTATTTCAAAATGAGTTAATTAGTTCACCAACTCACAAACCACTTGCAGTTCATTCACGAACCCCAGTTTGGGAAACGCTGGAGTCATGTAATGTTTAATACACTTCATGATGTTGGAATGGAATAGGTTTCTTATGAGTTGGGTCAAATGTAATCAAAAAGTAGTCCGAATACATTACCTAATATGTGTAATCCAATAGATGACATTTCAATCTACAATTTCCGTCATGTATTTTGTAATTAGTACTGGCCTACAGTAGAAGTAATCTCAGCAGCTCTGTGTATTCTGCAGAGATAGTATGCCAGCAGTAGTTCACCTCTCTCTCTCTCTCTCTCTGTGTTTCTGTCGGTCGGTCAGTATCTGGTTCTGCCGCAGACGTCGGTCGGCAGGTACGCATACGTTCAAGGTTCAGCTCTGAACGACAGCGCCCTCTATCTGTGCCAGCGCTACTACAGGAAGGGCACCATCGACCCGGTTAACGACACGTTTGACATCGACCCTCATGTCGTCACTGGTGGGCAGAAAATCCATTTTTGCATATCACACAAATCAATAAAACATAGCGAGTCGTCACTCTGCTGCTTACACTTTTTTAGTTTGACGTTAGCAAGCACATAAATATGCAAGACACAAATATTAGAGAGAAGAGGGCATTATTAATTATATTGAACTATTTTAGTTGTTGTATTTCGTTATTGGGTGTAATAATAGATTTATTTATTAAAGCCAGCTTGAAATCGGATTTGACACCACTTGTTTTCCTGATGCATGTTACTGTTTATGTTGGGAGCGATTCATTTGTGCGTTTATCTTTTATTGATTTAGTGTTTTGTAAACTTGCAATCTTTAATTAAAATGCAATATTACATTTATATCTGTAATACTGCAAAAAATGATTAGTATTTTTGTGTTGTTTTCCAGCACCAACATCTAAATATTATTCTTATATCAAGATACATTTAAGTATTTTCTGAAAAAATAATTGAAATAAAGTGAGTTTATGCTTAAAGCAAGAAAAAGCATCGGTTAGTGGAGTATGAAAAATTCAACTTAATCAAAGTGGAAAATGTCTCTTTTTCCTTTTATTTTTATTATTTAAAATAATAATTAGTTTATTTATTATTATTTGTAAAATATTAAGTCTTGTTTAAAAAAAAAAATAGTTTGTGCTTAAATCAAGAAAAATTTCTTTTTAATTTTTAATAATTCTATAGTATTTAATGATTTTATTTCAAAATACTAATTGGGTTTATTATTATTATTATTTATAATATTTTTCTTACCAATATATTTTTTATTGTTAAGCATAAACACAGTTTTGATTAGATATTAAGTCTATGTTTTCTGAAAAATGTAAGTAATTTTGCTTCTCAAGTAAATGTCTTTTTAAAAATCTTTTTAGATATTTGTAATGGCAAACAAGACAGAAGTGCCAAGTAAGAAAATATTTTTTACAGTGCTCCATTCCTGTTTACAGTGCTCATTTTTTCAATGCATTCACTAAACGATGGAGAAAATTTTGAACAGTCATTTCATTATGAAATATGCCACATATATTAGTAAATTTGGTTGCAACTTCCATTTCATGCCAACTTTTTCATTTCTCTAGACTTGTGCACCATCTTGGTTAAATTAAACTGACTTCATTTTAAATGGATTCTGGGATTGTCTTCTCCACAAAGGATGCACATGATGCTGCCTTCTAATCATCTATAATTGCTATAATCAAACCAATCTTATCTGAGAGCGCAGAATAAATATGCTGGGATAGTGTTCAACATTATCAGTGATTCCTGCAGGTGCTCCCTAAGAAGTCGTCTCACTAGGGTTCATAGCAGATGATTTATGTTCTACAAACTCAAACTGAAGTTCTAAACAGTCTAAATTCTACAGAATCTGTTGCCTGGCAACACAAAGCCGCTATCCGTTTGAATCATCAGTGATTATAATTGAGGCGTTTTCAATCAGAGTGCTTTTATTCTCTGTTTCTGTTTTGTTTTTTGTGTGTTGGTTTAGACTGTATCGGAGTGAATCCACCACCAGACCCCTCGAATCCACTGCAAAACCACTACAAGAACATCACCCTCAATTTCCAAAAGTGAGATCCACACACACATGATAATATATAACATGTATAATATAACAAATCTATGAGGACATACTAAACACTTCTATTGTTTATATATGAAATACAATAATCACAGACCAACACAAATAGAACATTATTTACTTATTTATCAGTTGTTTTTCAATTCAAATGTAACCCTGGACCACAAAACCAGTCATAAGGGTGCATTTTTTGTACTTTTTTTGTACTTTATTTCATCTTATTTTACCGAAGAAGTAAGCTTTCCATTGATGTATGGTTTGTTAGGATAGCACAATATTTGGCCGAGATACAACTTTTTGAAAATCTGGAAATATGGTGAAAATCGCCTTTAAAGTTGTCCAAATGAAGTTCTCAGCAAAGCATATTACTAATCAAAAATGAAGTTTTTATATATTTACGGTAGGAAATTTACAAAATATCTTCATGGAACATGATCTTTACTTAATATCCTAATGATTTTTGGCATAAAAGAAAAATGGATAATTTTGACCCATATTGACCCTATTGCTACAAATATACCCCAGCGACTTAAGACTGGTTTTGTGCTCCAGGGTCACAAATCATCTCCAAAAAGTGTGGTTTAGCTCAATTTCAGGGCCAGTTTTTTTTTCTGAAGTAACTGTAGCTCAGTAGCACACACACCGATCGCTGATCTGTGTAAATGTGCCGTTTTTTGCATAATTGTTGCTCAAGTTCCTCTCTGAGCGTCTTTCTGTCTCTCCTCAGGTTGATTAATGTGACTATCCAGTTTCAGCTGAAGGCGATAAACATCCAGACGATTATCAATAACGAGATTCCCGACTGCTACACCTTCTCCATCACCGTACGCACAGATTTCACAGCACACTAAACTCAATTTACAAAATCAAATAATGTTTCATGAAATTGTATTATATTATCATTCAAAAGTTTGGAGTCTTTACGATGTTTAATGTTTTTTGAAAGAAGTCTCTTCTGCTCACTGAGGCTACATTTATTTGTTCTAAAATCAAGTAAAACTGAGATATTATTTTATTTTAAAGGGGTCCTATTATGCTTTTTCACTTTTTCAACTTTAGTTAGTCTGAAATGTTGCTGTTTGAGCATAAAAAAGATCTGCAAAGCTACGAAGCTCAAAGTCCACTTCAAAAGGAGATATTTTATTTAACAGAAATCACTTTTCAAAAACTACAACGAACGACTCGTTTGGACTACAATGCATATTTTCCGGGATTTGTGATTTCACAAATACCAACGAATGGGACGAGACCTGGTTGAGCTGCACTAGAGAAGGCAACGAGTGTTATCACTATGTCAGAGACACACTAGCTTTCCCAAGGCAGACGAACTTAGAGTGATTTGATTTTGACGCAATATTTACACTGAAGCTCGCAGCAGGCGGCTATGGTAAGGGGCATGACATTTCCCGACCAGGCGCCGAGTGCTGCCAATCACAACACACACTGGCCCAGCTAACCAATCACAGCACATTTCGTATTTCAAAAGGCGGGCCTTCATTTGATACAGGAACTATTCGAGCCGTTCATGCCAGACTGGGGAGAGAGGTGTTGTAATAATGTCAAATATGTGAAAAAATAATGTGTTTTTCGAACAACCTAGTATGAGAGCCTGTTCTAGTACACCCCCAAAACAAAATCAAGACTTTGTAAAAGAGCATAATAGGACCCCTTTAAAATAACTGTTTCTGTCTGACTATATTGTAAACTAATTTATTTCTGTGATCAAAGCTGTATTTTCAGCATCATTACTCCAGTCTTCAGTGTCACATGATCCTTCAGAAATCATTCTAATATGCTGATTTACTGCTCAAGAAACATTTCTGATTATGTTGAGTACAGTTGTGTGTAGTAGCCTCGGTAAGCAGGAAACACTTGCTGACCTCAAACGTTTGAACAGTGTGTTATATCATGGAATGGGATTGTCATGCATATGGCATCTGTGTTTCAGATCCTGTTTGATAATAAGGCTCACAGTGGTAAAGTGAAGCTGAGTTTGCTCAACGAGGCGTCCATTAAAGAGTGCAGAGACACCAATGTGTCGGGACACGGTGAGATGACGGTGAACGGACGCTCATTTGTGTCTCTTTGTGATCCTGCTGAAGCTGAACGTGTCTCTGTCTCTGTGTCCAGGAGACAGTTACGCGCGCGTGGCGTTCGATGTGTTGGTGGCGGTGGTCTGCGGTCTGTCTCTGGTGTTGTGCGGACGCTCCATCCTCAGAGGAATCATCCTGCAGCACGTAAGTAGGGCCCTGTGACTTGTGAAAACACAATCCAGTCATAAAAATGCTATAATGTGGAACATTTAGGAATTAGTAAAATTTTGGATGAATAAATCAAAAGTATGTCAGTACACTTAAATCAGATGGAGATATGGACTACTGTCTGTGAATATTAAACCACAAAAACATTATTCAAACATGAATCCAGCACATCCTGCATGTCTCTGTGTGAATGAATGGCATGGTTTTGTTTACGTAGTGCTCATGGTGGTTTTAACCTGTTGTCTCACTATGAACACATGAACATCATCTCCAGAGCTGCTCAGAAAATCTCTTCAAGAGTATTTCACTGTTTCATTTGAGAGAAAAAAACTGTCTCATGTCATATGCACAGAAACTGTGCGGTAACTAAAACTGAAGTTCACGGTAAATAAAAGTTTGATTTAACTTGAAATTGTGACAGAAATATATTACTATTGCACAGTAGAAAGTTCCTCTCAATGTAAATAATAATAATAATATTTTAAACTTTATTTTTTAAGGAATAATCACACAATTTACCTTCCATGTTTTAATTTTAGCAGTAAACCTCTGTTGCGCAGCAATTTGTTTGCCAAAAAAAAAAAATTTAAAGGAATTGTTTAACTTTCATTTGACTAAAAGATTAATTAAATTGTTAATGTTTCATGCCTTCATTTGATTACCAGAAAAGTTCAAATTCATAATACAGAATGTCGGAACAAACAAAACATATTGTAAAAATGTTAAATTAATACATTCTGAAGTTGTTTTTATAAATTAAATTGATTAGACATGCTTGTTGATTATAAAAAAAACTTAATTGCACTATTAAACACAGTTTTACAAACAATTTGGTTAAAAAAAATCAAATCAAATAAATAAATATATCATAGTGCTGTAAAATGTAATTTTTGTTAAATGTTGTAGAAGTAGACTTTTTATTACTAAAATGTAAATTAACCATTAAAATAGAGTCTTTTTAAAAAAAATAATAAAACAGATAAAAGAGAATTTGAAAAAGTAAGTAAATGTTGGGAAAAATAAAATGTATTTCATAGAGCCCTAAAAATGTAATTATTGTTAAACTTCTAATTAAATAAAAATATATATATTTTATTGTACAGGTTTCATGATTTCATGATTTGGTTTTTGATGACTATAATTAAATTTAACCGTTAAAACTGAGTCCAGAAAAATGAGAAATATAATCCCCAAACAGGAAATAATTGAATTTTGAAAAAAATTCACCAGATTTTGGGGAAAAAATTAACTGATTTCATAGGGCCCTACCTGAGTTGTTATTTCACAATCTAAACTGACGTTTGGTCTGTGTTGGCAGGAGTTTGTGTGTTATTTCCGTCAGTCTCTGGGCCGGTCGGTGAGTTGGGGCGACCGTCTGGAGTTCATCAACGGCTGGTATCTGCTGCTCATCATCAGCGATATACTCACCATCATCGCCTCCTTCATCAAGATCGCCATCGAGACCAAGGTGACACACACACACACACGGTTACCCTCGAGTGCTGGAGATCCCGCTGTGTCTGAGAAACGCTGTGAGCTGATTGGTGCTTGTGTTTGTGCTGCAGAACCTGTCGTCGTATGACGTCTGCAGTATTTTGATGGGAACCTCCACCCTGCTGGTGTGGGTCGGCGTGATACGATACTTCAGCTTCTTTCAGAAATACAACGTGAGTTTATGCATTTATTCCTCGATTATAGATACGATTATAGTTTTTATTAATGTTTTGAATGATTTATTTCTGTATTTTTTGTTTTCATTTTAATTTTAGTTAAAGTGATTGCAATTTTGTTGTTTTTGTCATTTACTAGCTTTTATTTATTTTTTTATATGCCAAGTTTTTATTTCAATTTTAGTTCGAGTTATTTTAGTACATCAAGCTACTAAAAGAAAATGAGAAATGTTGCCTTGACAATGAAATAAAATATATTGTTAAATAATTTATTTCATTTAAAATGTATTTCATTTCAAGCATCGATTGTTGTTTCTGGTTTTAGTTTTTTTCTGATTTTGTCTTGAAATGCAACATGACATTTTTGACAGGCTTTGTGAGATTCACATTTATTCTTTCTTTGAGGAACTATGGATCTCTGGAAATATTGCAAATAGATATTAAAAGATCAATTAAAAGATATTAACATAGAAAATGTTCAGACGATGTGAATTGTCTGATCTGTTGTCAGATTCTGATTGTGACTCTACGAGCCGCGTTTCCAAACGTGATCCGGTTCTGCTGCTGCGTTGCTGCCATTTACATGGGCTACTGCTTCTGTGGCTGGATCGTCCTGGGACCCTACCACTCTAAAGTATGTTATATTTCAATATTATATTACCATGATAAAGTATGATATATTTCTTTACTAACATGTCCATGTCTTCTGATCTCTGTCTCTCTCAGTTCCGCTCTCTCTCTACGGTGTCAGAGTGTCTGTTTTCTCTCATTAATGGAGACGACATGTTTGCCACGTTCTCAGAGCTGGAGCAGAGCGGGACGCTGGTGTGGGTGTTCAGTCAGCTCTATCTCTACACCTTCATCTCGCTCTTCATCTACATGGTGCTGTCGCTCTTCATCGCGCTCATCACCGGAGCCTACGACACCATCACTGTGAGTTCACTTAACTAAACCAAACTAATGAAAACTAATAAAAAAAAAAAAACATTTACATTGATTGAAATAAAATAAATGTTAAATGTCAGTAAATATTTCTATCTTTCTTTCATGTAGTTTGTTCATTTTTAAAAATGTACTTGAAAAAACTTAAATATTGATTTAAATATTAAATTAACTTACAATTTTGACTCAGAACATCCAAGTTATAAACTCGATATTGCAAGGAAAAAAGTCAGAATTGTGAGATAAAAGTCACAATCTTTTATTTCACTGCGAGATGTTCAGAATTCAATGAAAAACATCAGAATTGTGAGATTTAAAAATTGGAATTGCAAGATGTAAACTGATAATTCTAAGAAAAAAGTCCAAATTGCGAGATGTAAACTTAAATTTCTAAGAAAAAGTCCGAATTGAAAGGCGTAAAGTCAGAATGCTAAGCAAACAAGTCAAAATTGCGAGATGTAAAGTCAATTCTGAGAAAAGTCAAAATTGAGAAATATAAACAAAATTCTAAGAAAAAGTCAAGACTTGCGAAATATAAACTGCGAGATGTAAACTTGGAATTGTTTATATTTTGCAGTTTTGACTTTTTTCTCAGAATTGCAAGAAACAAAGTCAGAATTTCTTTTTTCCTCAGAATTTCGATACAAAATTTCTGAGAAGAAAAGTCTGAATTGTGAGACAATGTTGCAATTCCCTTTTTATTTTTTTATTCAATGGCGGGGAAAAAAAAACGAATTGCGAGATGTAAACTCTGAATAGTTTATATCTTGCAATTCTGAGAAGTCTTAATGGTGAGATTAAAAAGTCGCAATTGCCGTTTTAATTTATTTTTATTTTTATACAGTGGTGGAAACGGGCTTCCATGTGCTTTTTAAGACAGCAAGTATACCTAAAACAATAAAAGTTTAAAATCGCCTGGCAGACATGTCGCTGTTTTTGATTGGTTTTCTCTCTGTATGTGTGTTTTGTGTTCAGCAACAAACCCAGGACGTGCCGCAGGTGTCCGAACTGCACCGGTTCATCGCCGAATGCGCCGACACGCCGACCTCCGGAAACTTCCGCAGCCCAGAGCCGTCCACATGCTCGCTCTTCTGCTGCTTCGACTAGAGAGACTGTGCTTGTGAAGGGGATTCTGGGTAACACTTCATTACTCTCACACACAGGAAAGGAGGGAACACGCTCTTCTTTGTTTGTTTGTTTACAGGTTGTAGCTGCACTAATAGAGCATCTCAGCATGCAGCTTTTAAATGCGTTATAATTAATGAGCTGAATGTGTTTTGCGTATTTATGAGCATCTCGGCTTTTGTGATTAGGACTTGATGCACTAGACCAGCTAAAGGGAACTGCGCCCTCTAGAGGCCTGGAGGAGTTACAGCACAAAAATTAACACATAAACACAAACTGAAACAGATAAACAACATAATATTTCAGGTGAATCTCAAGACCAAATGTCCAGGTCACATTTCACCCGAAAGCAAACAATAAGAAATTATATTTTGCTTAAAGAAAACAAAGCCTTTTTAAGACCATTATGATGTTTTGCATTTTATTTTAGGTTGAAATATGACCTGCACATTTTAGTGAGTTACAGCACACAAACACAAATGAAGACACACTTTTCCAACATCATAGTGCAGGTGCTTTGGTGAATCTCACAACAAAATGTCCAGGTCACATTTCACCCTAAAATTGAAAGCAAAAAATTTATTTTGCTTAAAGAAAGTTAATCCTGTTTTAGGACATTTGTGGCGTTTTGCTTTGTGAGATTATTTTCACAATTAAAATTAATTAATTTCTTATTTTTTTGGAAATGTGACATGCACATTTTCTTGACAGTTTTTGTGAGAGTGGTCTGATTATTTTTATTCCGTTCACAGCTGTGTATTTTATGATTTTAGGCTTTTTCTCATTTTTAGAGAATCTTTTTAATTTACGGTTTTCTGTGTATATATTACATATTCCTTACGTTTCATATGCACGTTAGGATATTAGTGCTTTGTCGGCAGAGGAGTGTCATTTGGATGATAATGTCACTTTTTCTTCTCTAGTCAGGAAGCATAGCTTGCAGGTTTATTTTGTCATTAATATTAATGTGGACGGTGTATCGTACCTGTCCCTGGTGCATTTGCTCCTTTCAAAGCCGTCACACACACAGACACACACACACAGACACACACACAAACAGACACACACAGACACACACACAGACAGACACACACACACACACGCACAGATGTTTGAGAAGCCTTGGGCATCTTGAGAGCTTTTCTCTGCATTGACACACAGGTCAGTCCATCAGGGAGTTACTCGACTGACACAGAGATGCTTTGATTGTTTTCTGTGTTTTTGGTCGATGGCAAGCTAATATCTGTCTATTAATGTTTAGCTCGATTAATTACTAGTTATTAGCTCGGTTAATTCCTAGAAACCATAAACATGAGGGACCGAACACCAGCTGAATGCAGGACTGAATGGGAACGTTTCCAATGCATCATTCTGATTACTGTGTGTTATTTATGAGCTCTCGGTGTATTATATTTATGATGTTAGTCATGGACTTTCAGCTTGTGGCAGTTTAATATCATTTCCGTTCATGTGTGATTTCATCTAGTGCTCTGAAACTGAGAGAATCTGATTAGATTTGTTGTTTTGTGGTGAGGAGGACAGCGGCTTTGCTTTTATGTAATTGTTTCTTACCCAGAATGCCTTTTTGGTGTAGTTTCATGACATACATTGTTTACTGCTGTTATTTTGGGGACGTTTTAATGAGATGTGTGATTTTAAAGTACTTGAAATGCTGTTTTATTTTAATATTTAAATTTATTGTGTCTAACTGTAAGCTGAGATGCATTTGGTTTGTATGTTGCATTCATTTTTTTTTAACAAAGAGAATATTTGTTTTTTTACAATGCACAATTTTGCACTTTTTTTAAGTTGGTAATTTATTTGGAGAGACTATTCTGAATGTGTATTTGTGGTTTTGTATACGAGTTACTCTCCGTTAAAATGGTTGATATGAACGCTCTTCATTATCATCATAAATACCGACACATTTTAACACAAATCACAGCTCTTAAAGTCACAAATAAAATACATCTGTGAATGTCAACATCAAACATTCTGCCTTTTTGTTTTGTGGACTGAATCACTGATGCTTTTTCTGCCCATGTGTCAACAAGAGTCCTTTATTCTTCAATTTTTTTTAATTTCCTGAAATATAACTATATAATAATAATATACAGTATTAACCTAAACAAAAATAGTCATATGATAATGTTGATAATCTTAAAAACGCAGACTATTCTTAAGAATTGTGCTCCTTGGAAGAATGAAGGTCAGACAGGTTTGGAACAACATGATAGTAAACAAATAATTCAATTTTAGTTTTTGTTTTCACAATTTTGAGTGGACTTTAACACATTATGTGCAGCCCTTCCAAAAGAACAGTGTAATGCATAGGGGTGTAACGATTAATCAATATGGATCGATACATCGATACGATGTCTGACGATACGATGCATCCGATGCCACGCGTAAAATATCGATATCTGTAGTATAAATAGGCACCTTTATTTTGGCACTGTCCACATTTTCACATAATGTCCGTCTATGCATTACCGCCAACGCGTGCATTCTCGTTCAAACTCACGTATCAGGACTCGATATAAGGACTGCCCGAAGGCACAAGGTGAGCTCGGGATTGTTTGCGGAACAGTCGAGCGCTGTGTGAGAAGTTTTCTGCGCACACATCTGAAGCGTGCGCACGCACACAGACAGCCGCGTCTACACCGCGTGAATACTAAATTGAGCTCTCTTCTGCTTTTTTGTGCATGGATGAATAAATACAGACAAAATACATCAAAATGCACGTTTTGGCGAATATCCTAGTAAACACAGTCGGTTAGGCATACATATGTCTTAAAGGGATAATAAACCCAATAATGAAAATGTGATGTTTATCTGCCCCCCCCCAGGGCATCCAAGATGTAGGTGACTTTGTTTCTTCAGTAGAACACAAACGAAGATTTTTAACTCAAACTGTTGCAGTCTGTCAGTCATATAATGGCAGTCAATGGGCTCCACGGCTTTGAGAGTAAAAAAACATACACAGACAAAATCAAATTAAACTCCACGCCTCGTGACGATACATTGACGTCTTAAGACACGAAACGATCGTCTGTGCAAGAAACTGAACAGTATTTACATCATTTTTTATCTCTGATCCACCGCAATGTCCAACTGTCCTGAGCGCGTTCACAACATCCGGCGCGTGACGTCAACGCGCGACGGATCGCTTCCGCACATGCGTCTACTATCATAGATATATATATATAGATTCCCTATTCGACCGCTCCAGATACGTTGACGCGTCCGCCATTTTGGAACGTATCGCGGCCCATAGAAACAGTCACTAATGAGGCATCTACTTATATATATCTATTGTCTACTATGCCAGTGCACGTACATGTCACACTGAGCTGAAAAACCCGAAAAGCACTGTTTATTGAACTTGTGTTTTTGTTCTATTGTATTTATTTTCTGCTATTGCTTGTAATTTGGTTATCTGTAGAATAGATTTTTAGCACTGAGCCCATAGTAGCAGCCAGAATTGTTTTTCCAATTGTTTATTTTCTTTATTATTAAAAAAATAAAATAAAATTGTAGGCCTATTTTTGTTGTTGTTGTGAATGTTCCAACTGAGGTACAGGATGTGAAAATTTCAGATAAATGTTCATGTTATATATTTTGGTTGCATTTGTGAGTTAATAAAAATGTAGATGGTTGTTTAAAATAGGTATATAATATCATAATATCGATATATCGATCGATATACTCCTGTATCGAATCGAATCCTAATCGTATCGTAGAATTTTTTGAGGTATCGGCAAATATCGTATCGCTGGGTA